CTGTTATCTTCTCGGACTGAATTTTGAGAAACAAGTTTGCGCTCTTTTGTAACCTGTCCAAACGATCTTGGTCGACACGGTCGTCTCCAGAGCCTTCAGAAAAATCCAAGAGAACATTATGTTCTGGTGACTGACCTATCCCTCTCAGCTCCGGGTATCTGTGACGCATGTCAATCGAGAACGTCCTTCCATCTCTGTATCTCTTCAAAGATTCAGAACACTTGATCATGTTTTCTGACAGGGATTCGCAAAAATCAACAGAAAATGTTCCTGGAACTATAGGTGAGTAGAGCGACCTGATTTCTTCAGGTATCTCAGACATGTCTGCCGCGAGACCCAAGTGTACGTCCTTTGAGCAGCAGACACGACCGAGGAAGAGCACAAGAGCTGCAGTGATGTAGTCCCCATCCTTCCAGACTCTGCCAAAAACGCGCTCTGGGACTTGAGGAGTTGGAATGTCAATGGTGACGATCTTATTCATAAGAACTTCTAGGTCTCTGCTAGTCCGCGGTTTCCAAATCAGTTTTTGGACTGGGAGTTTTGTTGGATCGTAACTGTATAATTTCTTCCTCCAAAAAGCTTCTTTCTTCCGGATCTCCTTCGCCACTCCAGGTTCTGATATGGTTAAGGATTTGAGCTGTTTCCCTCGAACAAGGTCAGGTGAGCTGTGCACCACCAGCCGAGTTCCGTCCAGCTCACTGAGGGTCAGGTGCAAGGTCCTGGACTTGGTGTTAACGATCAAAATGTTGCCCACCAGATCTAAGATGGACCCTGGACAGTTGTTGGAGCTTGCCTCTGTCTTTTGGTGGCTCTGGCGTGTCTCTGCTCTTGTGACCAAATAGAAGCGTCCATTTGGTGAACAAATCTTTGCGCTCCCGAACTGATTGTCAAGACTGCCAAAATCCAAAGCGCGAACCAGGTCATAAGACTTTTTGGCGTCATCTTCAAAATTCAGGACACCCAGATTTGGCGGCATGTCATAAAGACCAAAATACGATCTTGTCTCCGAGTTCTGTTTACGAGGTTTCAATACGTCAGCTTGGATGTCAGCCAGCAATCTCCGGAAAGCAACAAGACAAGCGTCTTGGCATTTGATGTTCAAAGATAGCACAGACTCATGAGGATCGATCTGAGGAACAGTAAGGAGATGAAAAATAATTTGGAGTTACTTACCTGGCAGTGAATGCCTCTCATAACCCAGTGATTTGAGTATTTACTTTCATAAATAGTAATGTTAATACTGAGGGTAAGTGTCTTCTATAGTTACATGCAGGAATGGCCCTGGCGACGTACTTGACTGGTGTAGCCTACCTTTCTTGCACTGGACAAAGAGATTTTAGAATTTGAGCACAGAACAAAGTACTTGTATCAAGATAGTCTCAGCATCCAAAATTCCATTTTGAGTTCTTTAGATTTTGTTTCCTTTTCAAAAAATGTTTTGAACTTTTTAAAATAGAAATGGGGAGCCGTCAGGGCAGTACAGGACAGAGACAGCTACTGTTAATGGTGTCATTACATTTTGGAATGTCCTAACCCTTAAAGAATCTTCGATTTCTTTTGTTTACCCTGTTATATTTTGCATTAGTTATTCTCGGTTGCATAAATCGTGTATATTCCTATTTGCATCAACATCCTCCTCGTCCACCCGGTGTCCTTATAAATTTAATTCCTGTCCTCCTCCCGAACTCGTCATACAACCAAATGTTTTTCATACGAGCAAAAAAGCCTGAGAAACTCGTCTTTATACCGTAGTTGGGTTTACTGTCATTGTATGCCTTTGTTTGCAAACCTCTCTGACACTGACTTCAAGTCTGTCACTAGTAACCCAGCGGTTACAGTACCTACTCACCAGTACTTGCTCTGTCTGCAGGAGTTCGCCTGTGTCTATGCCGCTGTCTACTGAGTGCCATGTCACCCCATGGACAGTCTGACCCTGGAGTATTGCCCAGCACGTTGCATTCACGCCTGAAGCAGCAGATATTGGATGTAGGTACGTAGATGCGTAGGTAAGTAGGTATGAGAAAGAAAGAGATTGAGAGAGAGAGAGAGAGAGAGAGAGAGAGAGAGAGAGAGAGAGAGAGAGAGAGAAGAGAGTAAGGAGAGGATGAGAGGGGAGAGAGTGAGGGAGAAAGAAGGGGAAGGGGAGAGAAAGAAAAAGTCGCGCGTATCTAATTTTGCGCATGTACTTGTATGTTTGTGTCTTTCAATGGGAGGGAGAGATGTGGCCTAGTAACGAGACAGTTGCTACTTGTATATATATTGCATTTATGAGCTCTTAGGTAATAGAAACAAGAACGAACTCGACAGCATTTCGACCCAGAGCTATCTGATAAATGATGATGTCTGCAGCCTGCAGTAGGGATGCATCAATTTTCAATGATGAGAGAATAGGGCAAGTCTACTTTGGCCTGCATTCGGAACTTTATTTTCCTTTGTCCTGTGTCCTGATTTGGTACCGAATATTAGTAAGTTATATATAGACTGTGTTAATGTAGTAGTAGTAGTATCAGTTAGAGTGAGCTTGTTCAGAATAACAGAAAAGAGACCTTATTTAAAATGACAATAATTTCGATGATATTACACTGATGATGATGATGATGATGATGATGATGATGATGATGATGATGATGATGATGATGATGATGATGATGATGAATTTGAGAAAATATTGAGGATTACGATATAGTGTTAGTCCATAGGAATTTACTCGACCTACCATGCACACCCGGGGTTTTCAGTCTCTGTGGGGCCAACATGACGTCATGCACGGACGACAGTGTTAATATATTTTTAGAATGGTTGGTTGAAGCAAACATAGGTAGAGATTATAGGAAGGGCTCAATGGAAAAGCGGATGTTATCACAATTTTGAATTTTTTCGAGTTTTTATTTTAAGAACTTTGTAGACTCTCGCTGCATTTCTGGTCAACAGGTGGTGTATTACTGATGTTTGACATCCCATTCAACTAGCAATAAGTATAAACCACCAGTCAAGCAAAAGTGTAGTTATGGGTCTAAAAGCTTTAAAAATTGATTCCCTCGCGATTTCCGGTTTGTGATAACACCTCGGCTTTTTTCTTTTAACCGTTCGGTTAGTTTATCTTACCCGCGTACGCTGGGAGTGGCGAGTCGTGAAAGTTGATGGTCAGTCTACAGGGCAGTTCAAGCACAGCGTCAGACAAGATGCGGGGGTTGTTGATGCTGAACAGATAGTGGAAACTCTTGCCCTGTCCACGGCGAGAGTGAGGGGTGGGGCGGGGATGTTGAGTTGCATCGTAGTTCGTAGGAGGATGTGGGGGAGCCGAAGAGAAGAGATAAGTTTAGGGGGACATGGTGCGTCTCTAGATTTACCTATGTAATAACAGAATGAATCCCCCCCTACCCCCCCGCCCACCCCATCCCACCAAAGGAAGGTAGATAGATAGATAGATAGATAGATAGATAGATAGATAGATAGATAGATAGATAGAACGGTGTTACTGGCACGTAGAGACAATGACGCTATTCATCGCAATAAACATTTCAATGTGCTGTAAAATTAATCGTATCAAATCAACTGACCTCGACCAGTTTCTCTATGGGAGATCCTCGAGGATGTACCGGTATTGCTGTCTGCTCACACCAGGTCGTCACATGACGCGTGTTGGTAAACACTGCACAGACGCGAAAGCCTGCCTTTTTCAGCATTTGCAGACATCTCAGCCCCGTGTTCTCCTCACAAATCAAAACACAAGAGAAGGACGCCATCACGGATGGGTTCTTCAGGTCCTGCCACTTGCTTCACCAGCAATAGCTTCTTTCTCCGTCTTTTCTGCACTGTGAAATCGAAGATATTATGTAATGTGGATTGCGCGTACCTATTGGTATGACATACCCTCTTTGCATACCCCACACCCAAAGGCTATTACTCGCAATTGCGATTGACATTGTGGTTGGTTGGCGTAGAGAAATTTACTGATTTATTTTACTTCTCTATTTTCACTTTCCAAAGTATGGCAAGATGCTGCAACAGGCGAGGTCGAAGCGGGTTGCAATGAAACTGACATTCATACTTCTTGCGCTTTTTTAATGCACGTTTCCCAACTTACCAAAGGATTTTTACAATAAATAAACCCTTACACTGCTTCTCACATGACTGCCACAATAGCCAGAGGGGAATTCCACTCCTAATGCTCCGAACTTGCTCACTTTCAGTACAGAATGGTGTGTGTATGGAGCGGAACATTAGAGATTGCTTTTTTTCAGCAGATGTACTAGCATTGACTTATCAGTTAGTTGGCAACCAGAGTACTTTCTCATTCTCAGAGATGCAGACTCGGCGCATTTGTTGTTGCCTTTTGTTTGGTTTATTATTATTATTATTATTTTGGTTATTGTTTTTGTTCTGTGTTGTTTTTGTTTAGTTTTCGTTTTGATTTTGATTTTAGCTTTATTTGTGTTTGTGTGTGTGCGCGTGCGTGCGTGTGTGTGTGTGTGTGTGTGTGTGTGTGTGTGTGTGTGTGTGTGTGTGTTTCTGTGTTCTTCTTTAGACTGTTTTTTTTTCTTCTTTTTTTGGTGTTGGTTCTATCTTAATTTCCATCCATACTCGGAAGAGAGTCTACCCAATTTCTTTAAAATAATTTTTGTACTTGCTTACAAGAGAAGGTTACTTACGAAATAGGGTAACTTTCGTTTTTATCAGACAAAAGGCTGCCAAAGCTTGGAAAAGGCTGGGGGGGCGTATTATCTTCCTTTTTAAAAATGAATGCTTGCTCCACTGTTTATGTAACTTGTCAAAATCATAATTTCCATTTTTTTTCCATTTTAATATTATTAGTTACTCATTGCATGCAGCATCACATCTGTGTTTTTGTTTCCTGTAGGATTCCTTCTTTTTTCTGAAAGATGACATAATCGCCCTGGAGGAAAACAGTATTTTCACATTTTATGCTGAAGTCAATAGGCACATAGCGTACAATAATATGTCCGATCAACTGAATACCAAAAGCAATGTCGCGACAAATTAATCTTCAAACAGTCATACACAAAACAGAATGACGAATTAGCTTGTTTCATAGTATGCATGTTATTGCCTGCTTTTTGAAGTATCAAATAAACAGTCTAGAAAAAACTGTAGGAATAACAGACTTTTGTTTCTTTTTAGAAGTGCTTCAGATATTGCTAAATGATCACAATAAACGCCCTCAATGAATTATTCACTTTTTTAAAAGTTTGAGTGCAGTTCCTTGCACCTCAACAATAGTTTCTCTTTTTTTATAGATATCTCACTGCGCATTTGTCGGTCGCGTTATTGGTCTCAGTTTGGTAACTTAACAAAAAGTACACGAATAAGCAATGGACAACAGTCACCTTAGATAGGAAACGTCCATTGACTGCGAGAAAATGACTCCGCTACGTTACCCAGCACCTGTTAAATAGTGCCCGCCAATCAGGGTGTGAGCGTGATATGCACGGGACCGGGGAACAGCGACTATGCAGTGCTAAACGAATACCTCGTCGTGCTGGTATTGATCTTGGTGCCGATACTTAATGTTTTTGTCGTTTTTATGCAGCTTACCGATTAAGTTATATTATAACGATGAATGGAAAAAGACTCTTTCTTGTGTCAGCTCCTTGTGGTTGTAGACTGTTAATAGTTTTTGTCTTTCTTTCTCCTTTACCTGAATATATCGATGAGGTTTCCAGATATTTTTTGTTGCTGTCCTCATCTTTAGCTCAGTCTATTTCTGCTACATGTGCTTTACAGGATGGGGACATAGTCACATAAAATATATTTTGCTTAAAAATCCCATTATTGGTTTTA